ATATTAGACACACGAATGAACGATTAACCCCACTAGCAATCATCTATCCTATTAAACGGTCACCGAGACGTATCGAAGGGAGAACGTTTAAGTCGGAGCGGAACCCCCTAAGGAGCCCGGACCGATCCGAGTAATAAGTCCTAGGGAACGGTTCTCGATCGCCAAAGTGCTACGAGAGATATATATAACGATTCCGCTTGCCTAGTTACTTAATCGCTTAGAAGTAACTCGGAAGGAATTAGTATAGTTCCTACAAGATACTGCTCCACGATTTAGAGCCCGACGTGTTAAAATCCGCGATCCCGCTAGCTTTATATCCGACGAGGTATGTAAAGGAAGCGATCGAACTAATTAATAATCTACGCTCTAGCAGTTACTTCTAAAGCCTTAGAGGATAACGGATATTGTCACTAATATTTATAGAAGTATAGATCGGGGATTAAAAGATACCTCGAACGCTACTAGACGGTGGATCACTAGTAGAGCTGATCTCTAAGAGAATAGTAGGTTAGATCAGTATATATACCTATGGATAAAAGGAAGGAAATCAGTCTAGTAGATAAATATACCACGGTGCTAAAACGATATGTATATCTACAGGTATACATCTAGTATAACAGCCTTTATAAAGTGCTATATCATTAATGCGAATATATAATCTACTTCTCAGGGTTCGATGGATAAGACGAGTCCGATATCACGTAGTACTTCTCTACTCGGCCCTATATTAATTATTATTGCCTTCACAATTAAGCTTCAATTTTATGCCTCCATTAAAATCACATGACCTGCATAGGGCTAATTAACCAGGGTAAGCCGAGCGTCCCACACAGTGAAAACTCTGAATACCAATTATCGTCAATTAATTTTGATCTCCTATAGTGAAAGCTTCTTTTTTGTATGTCATTTTAATTCAATTTTACGGCGGAAACGGGGACGGGGACGGGGACAGGGACACTGAGATCTGTATAAATTTCTGGGTTATGAGAATGACTATATGCACACCCCTTAGCGCCATTTTTTACCATCTGCACACCTTTAGTCCTTTTTAGGTAAAGCCTTTCTTGGCCAACCATTTGTCATCATTTGTGTAATTTAAAATGGTATCCGCATAGTAAATGACACCCTCATCACCTGACTCTTGGCCACATATAACCCTACACCAAAATGCTTAGCCAAGATCATGTGCCTGCTCCACAATTCACATCGCAGAGTAACAATTCCACCATACCATAATTAATTTTTGAAGCTATTGACAGATCTCATTTTGTGTACTGCTATTGATCACTTAATTTACATGTTCCTGGCCTGGTTTGACTGCCTCGCTCCCCGAGAACCCCAGGGTAGCTGCCCACTTGTTGAGCTCGGTAAGGCCTCTTGTGGGGTGGCAAATCGGTCGATCGGGGGAGGCGATTCCCATGGTTCATATGCTTCGGTAGGCAGGGGAGGAGTATTATAGTAAGGATCCATAATGAGATCTGGGAATAGCTTCAAAAAATAAATATGGTATGGTGGAATTGTTACTGTGCGATATGAATTGTGGAGCAGGCACATGATCTTGGCTAAGCATTTTGGTATAGGGTTATATGTGGCCAAGAGTCAGGTGATGAGGGTGTCATTTACTATGCGGATACCATATTAAATTACACAAATGATGACAAACGGTTGGCCAAGAAAGGCTATACCTAAAAAGGACTAAAGGTGTGCAGATAGCAAAAAATGACGCTAAGGGGTGTGCAAATAGTCAAACTCTACATTATACTTTATGGCAATTAACTTAAGATAGGGTAGCTATAAATCCCCTATATCTCTATATCCTTAAGGATAATGCTATCACGATCGTGACGATCTAGGTTGATATGTCGATCTTTCTACCGTCGTCAACCGCCTGCCTAAGGGATTCGCAGGTTTCTTTCCCTCAACTTAGGTTTGCATTGTTTAATTGTTTGGTTATGACAGGACCCCACAAAGGATCCAGTCTCCCACGTTTCTTTCTTTCTTTCTTTCTTCTTCTTTCTCTATAAGCGGCCCCTGAATTTTTTTTCAAAAAACACGGACCCCCGCAAGCGAGGGTCCGCCATCAATTCGTAGGGGATCACCCAAACGTCGGTTTTTTCATACATTTGACTACAACCACCACTTACTTCCTTATCTATATATAGAGTACAAAGTTATAGATCCCCACGACGTTATTTGGCACTTACATGCTTCCTGATTTCAATCAACACCTTCCACTTCCATTTCGCTTTTTCTTCATCGTCTTTTTCACTCAATTTTTACTCTTTTCGTTTCATCTCTTTGACTTGGGATAAAAAATTGCTACCGGTAATAGGTAATTAACGACGAGATACGTCGTATCTAGCGTGGCGTGGCCCCATAATAGCTTGTGTAGAATGGAATTCTCGTTGTAGCTGAATAGCTAATGTTGCCTAGGCCTCAGCCCCTTTCACAAGCCTTGCTAGCCCCTATTTGAATCGCTAAGTGGTAGGGTTATTGATAGAGATATATTACAGTTTCTACTTAAAGTGTAGATATCACTCTGTTGTCCGTTAAGAAAGAGAGAGAAACTATCTAAAAGATGGGAAACTAAGCACTAGGAGCATATGGTAGTGTGTATTGTTCATATACTTTTAACAGTCATATTTATTAAGCCGTAGGCTTATCCTTCTCACTTTTTCGGCGGGTTTTGGGGTGCTAAACTCGGTGTTTTATAAGGTAGTTAATAGTGTAGTCAACCAGGGTAGATTTTCATTAAATAGGTTATACGACTCCAATTCATCGGGAATAAGCTTAGACTTAATAGGCTAAAGACCAGTTAATTTGAAACCAAGCTTAATTTAGTTGTATATAGCCGGAAGGTTTTGCGCCTAATTTCGCCAATTGAGTGTAGGAATTCATCCTTTACAATTTAAGGTATCCAGTCATTATAGCCGCTTTAACTACCTCCCTATACTAGTACTTATACACGCTAAATACGCCGATATTATGAGGCTACAGTATATAGCTTATATACGAGCGTAAGAAGAATAAGATGACATTATTCTTCTCACAAAACAAAACTAGATGAATTGGCGTGTTTGATAGGATCCAAAACGATCATATAAAACAGGCCTCTTTCTAAGAAGTGTACAGCCAATTGTCCACTTATAGAATAGCTAAATCCACTAAAATACTAACGTTATTCCCAAGCGAGCTGGACAACCAAACGAGCTGGCCACCCCAACCAAAACACGTCCATGAATTAGATCTTAGTTAGTTCAACCACCCACCATGCCACCAATTCGTACTCAATCCTCTCGAAATTCAATAGAGCAGGAGGGTAGGATTTTACTAGCTATCCAGGCTTTTAAGAATCAAGAAATCTCTTCAATTCGTGAAGTGGCGCGCCGTTTTAACGTCCCAAGATCCATCCTTTCTACCCGCCTGAATGGTATACAACACCGCGCGATTTCTCGCGCCAACTCTCATAAATTGACTGATACTGAAGAGGAATCTCTTCAGAAATGGATATTCTCTATGGACGCTCGTGGTTCAGCTCCACGACCTTCAATGGTGCAAGAAATGGCGAATGTTCTACTTTCGCATCGCGGAATCAACCCATCATCTACAGTCGGCAAAAATTGGGTCACTAATCACATTAACCGACATCCCAATCTATCCTCGAGATTCTCCAGACGTTACAATTACGAACGTGCTAAATGTAAAGATCCCAAAATCATTGGTGAATGGTTTACACTTGTTCAAAAAACGATTCTTCAATACGGCATTGACAACGATGACATTTATAACTTCGATGAGACTGGTTTTGCAATGGGATTAACCGCAACTGCTGAAGTCATTACGAGATCTGAATACTACGGTCGGCGATCACTTTTACAACCTGGAAATCGCGAATGGGTGACTGCAATTGAATGTACAAATGCTTCAGGTTGGGCACTACCTCCATGCATTATTTTCAAAGGCAAAGTATTGATTGAATCTTGGTTCGACAATCTTCCAAATGATTGGCGCTTTGAAGTCAGTCCTAGTGGATGGA